TTTTTTTACAAAACTCAAAACTAACTTTTTCTTACTCAGCTCGATATCCTCTATCCAACCATGTATAAATATATCGAAAAGAAAAAGTGATGGAAACGTCCAATTACGGTCACTTTACGTTTTACATTCTCTTCTTATTTGAACCATAGGTTTACTCACTATGCGCTAAGACTGAAAAAGAAAATGACTGTTCATTTATTCCTACATATGATTTCGGCTATTTTATTAATACACCTGAAAACGATAACTCGATACTTTTCTATGATATACATACCAGTTGTTAATAAACTTTTGCCTTCAGGTGGTACACCACCAGCATTATTCGGCAATGGTGGTAAGCGAAAAATTTTTGTTTTCTACATATAGAATAGATAATAATGTGATGAATACTTATTTAATTTGATTTTCACCTACTTCACGGAGTGATTTTCCACCATCAGACAACATTTCTGCTCGAAATTGATTGCTTTCACGTCTTATTCTTGATACTGTACTAATTGGTGGACTAGACATTGTTTCCGAATCTTTTCGCAATCGTTGCACTTCAACTAAAAAGGAACTATTCATATTGACACATACTAGTGATTTAGATTATTATTATCACATAAAAGAAACGCGTACTATATGGTCGAAATTGCTCGGGATGTTGATCCCGTATTAATTCGTATTCTTTAAGTAGTGAAATATGATCGATTTGTGTTTCTTTATCGCTTGTTGAAACATTATTTTCAGTTCCAGTTACTATAAAAGCAAGAAAACATTCGATTTTTAGAAATTCCTTTACACATTCATATCTCTCTTAGACACCGTGTCATGACAACTCCACGGCATTCATTTACATAACGAATGTACTGTACAATTGAGCTCTCGCTAGGAATTATTTAGAAGTTTTAGTTTTTGATTGACAAAATCATTAGTTAAATAAAAATTTCTACACTCACCATAATATGTTTCAAACCTTCCATCGACCATTTTTAGTTGAGGTTGACCGCTCTCTCTGTCACGTTTCTTCTTCAAAAGACCTACCATGAAAACAATTTTATTGAGTTTTATTTTCTCTCCAGAAAATGTTTTGTTAACAAACCCTCAATTTTTTTCTTGAGACGTGGTTTGACAAACAGCATGACGATAAGACCAACAATTACACCGACACCAAGTGTGGTCACTAATTTACCCCATAACGGTATTCGGTTAAAATATAATACTGAAAAATAATAATGTGCATTTTTAAACAGAAACTTATTTCAACTTTAGGGTATAATTTATAATTACATGGTGGGGCAGAAAGTAAAATTGATATAACATTAATCATGATTGTGACAGCATAGAATACAGGCAACCACCGCAAACCGAGTGCCATTTGTGCTTTCTAACAAAGGAAAAAGAAAGATAAAAGGAAAGACATGAGAGCTCGTATAATCTCACCGCTTCCAAAATAAATTTTCGAATTAATACAAAAACACCGACTGAAATAGCGCCTGCTAATAGCGGAGATATGAACCAGGAAGCACCTAAACATAAAACCAAAACTTGTTATAAATGTATAAGTCTATTTCATAAGAATGTTTTTTCCACTTACCAATTTTAGCAAATTCGACCCACTGTATGCCTTTGGCACCTTTGCTAACAAGTGCAAAACCAATGGTTGCTCCCACAATACTATGAGTGCCGGAAACTGGTAAATTAAAAAATGTTGCCACTAATAGCCAAACACAACATCCTAAAGATACTAGAACACATTGAAAATAGTTGTTTGAAATACTTTACACTTTACCTATCAATGATGATACTTGGCCCAGCATCAACTCTTTTTCTTGATTATTAAATAATGCAGGATCAATAATTCCTTTCCGAATCGTATCAGACACCTTTGCGCCTATATACAAAAAATAAACGCAATAAAGAACAATTGATTTGAATCTTCGTTCTAAGTACCGCTGACAAATTAATGATTAACAGTAACTTTCGTCTGAAATTTTTTTGTGATAAAAAACGTTTTAGAGCCAGTAAAAAGATAAGTTCTCCACTGGAGAACAAACTTCTCTTCATGAAGAAAAAATAAAATTCTAAGAAAATTCTCTTCAAAACATTCTTCAAAACTTTTAGTAGGGAAATTCTCTTCTTAATCGAATGCACTATTACTTACCAATAAGAATTGATCCTAATATTTCAAATATGGTTGCTAACAGGCATGCCTGTTTCAATGTTAATACTTTTGATCCAACACTTGTACCAAAACTATTTGCAACATCATTTGCTCCAATACCAAATGCAAGGATAAAAGCAATTATAAAACCAAGAATTAATATCCATAACACATCTATACTGTATGGCTCAATCATTTATGATTGTTTATCTTATTTTGTACTATTCAGTCAATACATCTTTGGAAAAAAAAGGTGATTGATTGTTGTTTTTTCTACCAGCAACATTGGTCAATAATCAACTTTCATTCATGCATATTATTTTGGACCTATTCGTCAAAGTAGTCACTCATATTTAAAAAGAGATTAATTGTTATATGAACATCGTATCTAATAACTAGGGCATACATACAACAAGAGAAAAGTACTTATAAAGACTTTGCTTCTGTTGTGTATGGAAAAACAATCTGATTGCACATTAGTTTCATTTTTTTTGTCTAAGAATAACGCTATTTGAGTAACGTTCTATAGGATTCGATTGGTTCCTTTAACTATCACAATTAAGTCATTGCATGCAATACGAACGTAAACTAGACAATGTGGTTCAACAATTTCTCTGTTTCTGTTATTTTTTCTTTTTTAATACAAACTACCACCGAGTAGTTGAAAAAACCGTTGATTTATGGAATAATTCGCAATCAAACCATCGATGGTTAAAAGTAAAATTAATTGTCAAAGTGGGAATGGATATTCATAGACAAATTTCGATATTAGTGAGTTGTCCATGAACATGGATAGACATAAAAAAGTTTAAATTTTTTTTCAAAATGAAGAGAATGAAATACTATATTCTCAAGGGCTGCCATTCTCCTTTTAGTGACTTAAGGCAAATATTCAAATTTTTCAAACAAAACTAACTCATCTGTTGCATCAAAACCCTCTCTACATTTTCACACAGTCCGTTATCTATCATTCATTCTTTTGATTAGTCCCTCATGTTTCCTGCCTCTTCTCGGCTGAAGCTTCTAGCTTTTCGTCTCCAGTTCATTCATTTCCAGCCATAATCGCTCAAAATTTAAAAATGTATCCCCAGAAATTTTTGTTTGAGGCACTCTGCCTCAAGGATATATCATAGGTTGGAAACCCCTGTATATTCTGCTTAATGGAAGGAAACTACGTAACATTTTTCTAGAATAATTAAAAAAATATATTCTTTTTATATACAAAGTGTGGACATAAACAAGACGGCCGGTCTGTCTACAGACAAAAAAGTAGATTAGTAGATTAGTCGCAGGTTACTATAAACCAGCACGTCAATCTCTCGTGGACTACTAAATGGAAACAGACAACATCACTATACTGGTAATTCTAGTGGAAGTAATAAGTCAGTAGTCAAAACAGTAAAATTTGGAAACAGTTGTAAACAAACAATTTTATCCGGTAATCAAGTTAAAGTTAACGCATTCAATCTTCTAAGCAAAGTGATTATTATCATTTGATTGGCAGAAGGTCTATACTAGATGCTCTAGATGTGTCGAGTGAACTTTGCTATTCTAACTGATTCGACTACCTGATTACGTAGTTTTGGTGGTGTCTGTATTGATATGCAGAAAAAAGAAAATGCAACAGCAACAATATCAACTATGACACCGAACACTTTTAGAACATTCTTAAACCAGAAATACAGCACGAGATTTTATAGTGTAGACTTCATTCACGATCAGTTGTAGATTTTTAACTGAGATCCAGGCTCTATATAAAAATGCCTTTTAAGCTTGATCATTTTTTAAAGATAAAGAGTATTCATTCATTCATTCTATTCTTGATTATTTAGATATTTTTTGGATAGATGAATACGCAGCTCTTATATCGTTTGAAACAGCAAATATTGGGCTACATGTTTGAACAGTCTTCGTGGAGTTACAAAACTTGCATTAAAAGTTTCATCTATGAAACTTGGTTCCGCCACCTTTTAGGTACTTCATTAGTTAGAGCACGTAAAACTACATAGACTGGCTGTATTTCAATAGAAGAATGGGTTTTCTTTAAAAACTATTTAAAAAATGCTTCACACTTCCTCTATTTAAAACCTCTTTCTGGATCCCCTAAATGTTGTGTCGTTGTACAGAATATAGGCACAGAATAGTGACTTTAGTTTTGTAGTTTACTGCAAAGCTAAGTTCACGTGTTCCAATCTCTAGTCGTACAAAAATTGATTTTGTGTTTTTCGATAGTTTTAGTTTAGAATAATGGAATATTTTTCCGTTTGTATTCTGTCAGAATAAAGCTTATACCAGATGTTGTGTAAATTTTTTAATAAGTGGAACTTAAAGAAAGACTTTTCTTATTTCCAGCCATTATTCATAATATCTAGTGTTGTCAAAAAAGATTTACATGTAGCTCAGTTAGTCATATCGTTTCGTAGGCTATGTCTACATTAGAGAAGTTAGACAAGATGCTCGATACTTGATTGGAGTTTAAACTCCAATCACGTTCTCTAGTGTAGACATGGCCATATTCATCATCTATTTAAAAAATATCTGATGATCAGAGAAATGTGATAGTATCGATGAATGAATACTCAATTAGGATACGCTAGGACTGAGAGTTGAAATTTCTGTCGTTGATTATAGACTTGTGGCTCTCTGATGAATAAATGTGATCAAGAAAATAAAAAGTACTTAATCCACTTCTTGCCATGCGTGTCCGTTATATACTATATATACAGACACTGTTTTTTCGCATCTTTTGTTTAAAATGAGAATAAGAAACTCATACATTTGCAATAGAGTCGTAGGAAACAAGCAATGTTAATATTATATTAGGAATCTGGCAAATAAGATATTTCTTTCCACATAAGATATCCCATGTCCGGACATTTTTTTGTCTCAGCGCGTTGATACAAAAGAAAGAGAACAGAAAGATACGCATGTTCGGAAAGAGATATCCCTTTGTTTGCTAATTTTCTATCGGTTATTTGCTACGGCTCTAATCACACACATGTTTGTCATATAACTTATACAAAGAATATAAACTATATTATATCGCCGTATGGTATATAAGGTATACACAGAATTTAATTCGCATGTTTGAAAAGGAAAACGAAAAATTTCTCTTGTGTTCAGACACTTAAAACAAAACAAAAACTGACTAACTAAATCCACCAATCGAATTCTGTCATCACACCTCTATCTCACTCTCACTCAACCCGAGCTTGTTCAATTCTGAGTCTAAAGTGTGTCCAATGTATTACTTCAATGAACTGATTTATTCATTTATCCTAGTTTGAAACTCAATTTTATTCCACACTTTAATCATAGAGAATAGAGTTCCAATGACTGCTTTGGCCTTGTCTACACTACAAAACTTAAATGAGCTAAAACGAAGTTGGTTGGTCAGAAAGCTAACTCTGAATTAAATGATGTTTAAACATCACATTTAACTTTAACTCCCCAATCATAAATGAGCTCAGTAACCAATAATATGGTTCCATTAGACAAGGGCGGTAGCGCCAGTTCTGTGGGGAAACAAACATCGGACTCTCCACTCAATTTTTCTGTTTGAGCTCAGAAAGTCAACTGTAGAACGTAAATTCAAACCGACCAGCTGTTAGTAAGCCGCAACCTTTGAGAATACTGAAGCTGCACAATTTTAGCGGAAATGTCAAAATCTTATTGATGTATTAAAGATTTAGGTGTGAACGCTCTCGAAGTTAACTCTGAAAAATTTGCAACATGAACGTAGCCTAACCAAATGTGTTCGGTGAAGCTAGGCGCAAACGGTGGGAGCAAATCACTACAATCAACGTCATTCTTCTGGTTTTTCGCGTTGAGTATGGCGATTTGCTCCCGGCGTTTACGCCTAGCTTCCCCGAACGAAAGGATGAGCTAGTACTAAACTCAGTCCTAGCCAGAGATCCCAGATCCAAGAGATGAAAATCAGAAGAAAATGAAAATACGAATTTTTGGTGCTTAGATGATTAGTTCTACCTTTTTAAACAATAAATGTCAGACAACTCTAAAACACACCAATTCTTCCCATCCTGGGAGATGTTTCTTTCTCTTAAGTAATTCTACGAGTGGAAACAAAGTACAGAAAACTTTAGAACTTTCCCAGTTCCGAAGCGCTCGTATGTACAAAGTATAAGCTCGCAGAGTACTGTAATCGATCGAACAATGAGCAGTTTCTAAAATAAGGATCTATAGAAGGAAGACTTATAACGAACTATTGGGATATTATTGTCCAGTTCCTACTACCGGAACAGAAAGCGATATAAATGTGATACAATACATACGCTATGAACCAAACTTTAGTTAAAATCTACATAAAATCAGGAAAAAATCTCAAAACCAGAAGATCAGAAACGAGGCAAAAAAAGTTCAAAATTCAGAAATTTTCTGCCAGAAACAGAAGATCTGGGATCCTGATCCTAGCGTATCCTAACTGAGTATTCATTCACCCATTCATACTATCACATTTCCCTGATTATTAGATGTTTTCTAAATAGATGATGAATAAGGCCATGTCCACACCAGAAAACTGATTGGAATTTAAACTCCAATCCAGTAGTTTCTAAAGAAAGAAAACTCATTCTTCTGTTTAAACACATCCATTCCGGAGTTGCCAGATGCTCAGGTCAGAAATGAGAAAAACGTTCCAAACTGCGGAAAAAAAACGGAAACGCATTTTCATGATCTAATTTAATCCTTGTTAACGCGCAGAGAGCCAGAAAAGTGTTTCGTCTAGTACTTTGGCGTTTTACTCTATAAAACATAAGAGAACAACAAATAAAATGTGAATCTTGATTTTAATTGACACGTTGTTTTTTGACTGTATATTTTTGATCAGAATGAATAAACTTAAGCAGGTCGGGGGTTGATAAGAAATAATTATAAATTTCAGTGATGATAATGATGAGTTTAAACGAATTTTAACTTACGAGGGAACCTCCCGAGATGCCCACTTCCAATTCAAATGCTTTGTACATGAATCGATAGATGCCAGTGAGGTAGTAAATACCCTAAACGGATTCGGGCGCATGATTCTTGAAGGTCTGATTTTCTGGAAAACCAGTTTTTCAGAAACTCTAAAAAATAACCAAAAGCTTTTCTTAATGAGGCATGATTGTGGCCTGCAAAGTTCTGATTAAAATGAGACGTCTCCCAAACCGGGTCTTTAAGAATCATGGGCCCGAATCC